CCCCACCCGGGGTGTCAGGTGCACCGGGGGCAGGGCGCGCCTTTGGCCCACCCAGCGGGGGCGGGATGACAAAGCACAAAGAGACTGCGGAGGACCACGACCCGCTTGGCCTGTACTAAGGAGGGGACCCGCCTGTCCCAGGCTCCAGGCCATGGGCAAGAGAACAGGGGCGTTTACCTCCTCGTGTGTGTCACGAGGGCTTTTGAGAATTTAGATGAAAGCTGTGGCTCATCTGGAGAAAAAAATGGCCTTTACACAGACTCAGGGAGAAGCGTGGAAGAGTCCCCAGCCCACGGGCACCTTGGGGTCCGCAGAGTAGGGCACTTCCCTCCCGGTAGCAAAGGTTGGACTGGTGTCACCTGAGAGGTGAGGGACAGGTGAGGGGCATGCCTCTGCAGCAAAGGTCTGCCCTTCTGAGCCAGTGCGGTCTGCTGCCAGGCGGTGGATCCAAAGTGACCCTGAAGGGGACGGGGCTCCCCAGGGGCTGTTCCTGGAGGGAGAAGGCCCAGGTCCTTGGCATTTACGCCCTGAGGAACAGCACACCGGACCCATTTTTTAACGGAAGGGAAATGGAGGCATGCTGGGGATCCCGGGCTCGCTGTTCAGTACGCCCAGATCCAGCGTTCTGGGCTTCATGTTCTTTCTCTGCAGCCCATTGATGCATGGTCCCCAGCAAGCTACTTAAACCTCTCTATGCTGCCCCTGTGCAATGGCTGTGCCCATCCCTACCCCAGAGCGGTGGGATGAGCTGCCATGGGCTTCCCCGTGCAAGGGTTCTAGTCCCAATTGTGCTGCTGGTAGCACTTGGTAATACGACTTCCTTCTCTGAGGATCCTTTTGATAGTTTTCCTAGTGGACTCAATGTCTGAAAGACTTTTGTCTGGCAAAGGACTTGCATTTATTTCTCCCGTTTTTGTTGATCAGACCCGGCACCTGCTTAGCGTGGACAACCTGCGTGAACACTGCTGAAAGCAAGCATCTGTCAGTCTCTAGTACATCTTTTTGTTCAGGCTTTTAGAGGTCAGGAGAAAAGTCATCCCTGGGCCCTCATGATCCTGGTTACAAATCGCTTAGAGTTAAGTGTTATGGGTGGGGACTTCTGGGCCACTTGGCTCTGTCAGCCTGCGACCCTGGCCATGCATTGCAGGTGCAGCCAAGCAGGGACTCACAGCTCCTGGGAAGATGGTGCGGATCTTGGCCAATGGGGAAATCGTGCAGGACGACGACCCCCGAGTGAGGACCACTGCCCCTCCAAGAGGTGGCACTCCTCGACAGGTAGGCACCCATGCCGCATGGAAGGGGAGCAGCTGGCCTCCTCTGTACCCATTACTCCTTAGCTCCCAGAAGTCTCTCTTGCTGGTCACTAACCTTTGCTAGCCTGGAGCTCTCTTTGTAGAGAGCCAAGCTGGGGATCCCAGGGGATTGAGACTGGGGGAAAATGCAGTGGATTCATTGTGCGGCCTTCTCAGTTCTCCTTCCTCTGGGCAGCCTCCCCAGACTTCAAACCTAAGAGCTCTCTCTCTTTTAACCTGGTTAGCAAACCCCAATGGAGTCAGCATCTTTGCTTTAAGAGTCTATTGGGAGTAGCTGGAGAGTAAGTGGAGGAGATGAGCCCATGGCCACCAAATAATAATTTAATGAAAGGAGTGAAGAGTATTTAGAATGCCTGTACCAGAACCGTGCCCTATAGTCCAACCTTCCTCAACCACTTCCTTTCTTCTCTGTCCTGAGCACCTTCTCCCTGGGCATGATGTGGGGAATACAGACTGGCATCTTCTGTGCTCTGAGAGCTTGTGACTCGGTTGTAGGCATTCTTATGGGTGGCATCTGGGGACTGCTGAGAAAGGAGGGTGTGGCACTGGGTGGCTGTAGGGGAGGGCAGGGTCCAGCTGGTGCAACTTCAGGGAAGCCTTCTCTGGATTCATTCATCTCTTTCTGTCTTCACCTTTCAGAGCTTTCTCAACAGGAGCCATGGTGTCCCCCCAGGCGGTCCTGGCCCCCGCCATCAGCAGGCAGGTGCCAGGCTGGGTGCTGCTCAATCCCCCTTCAATGACCTCAACCGGCAGCTGGTAAACATGGGCTTCCCCCAGTGGCATCTTGGCAACCATGCTGTGGAGCCAGTGACCTCCATCCTGCTCCTCTTCCTGCTCATGATGCTTGGCGTTCGTGGTCTCCTGCTGGTGGGCCTCGTCTACCTGGTGTCCCACCTGAGTCAGCGGTGACCTCCAGGAGCTGATAGGGGTGGGTGTGTTAAAGGGACTTGCTGGGCCTTGGTGTGAGAGCAGGCACACGGGAGGGGATCTAGTGGTGCCTTGAAGGTGTGATCAGAGAAGGGGCCAGAGGGGTGTGTTTCCCTGTCGTGTTAAGCATGAGACAGAGGGAGACTCCAGTCCGGCATTCCTGAAGTATGGGGTGGATACCCTGGTTCACTTGAGATGTTTTTAGGTGGTATAGGGCCTACATTAAGTGGCACAAAATCAGAAGAAGAAAGAGATTCCCTTTCTAATTCTCTTAATCTTTTTATGGCACGAAGAAAGTCTCAGCCAGTGCCAATATGTTCTAATGACTCTGGAACACGTGCTGACATCCCCTTTTACTAGGGAGCAGGACTTGGGCTTAGGACAGGTGCGAAAAGTTTCCAGACTTTTATAGCACTGTTTGTTTTAATGGTATATTTTTATTGGCTACCTTTTATTTATGATGGGTGGTACTGGTATTCTATTTATTGTGACATTTTCAATAAATAGCTTTAAGTAAAACTGAGTCCATGTAAAGAAATTCATAAATAATGCACACAGATCTGGAAGGCTTGGTGAAGGTGGTCGGGAGTGATTGGGTTTGAGGAACAGGGGAGCAGGGGGCATTTGACCTTGGAAGGTGGTTTCTAAGAATTTTTCCATAGGATCCAGGAGCTGTGAGGGGGAGTCCAGGTAAAATTTGGGCTTGGACCCCTTGCCTGATGCTCGGATAACTTCTAGGCTCACTCTGAGTTGCTGGACTTGAAGGTCAGCTTTGTGGGGAGGGGGCCTCTGGCCAGAATGGCTGCTGAGTCTGGTGGGTCAGGAGAGCCAAGGTGCAGGTCTGAGGCCTCCCTTGCCTGGGGCTGTAATCAGAGGCTTCTTGGCCCGGCCTCCCAAGGCTCTCTTAACTGTTGGCTGCAGTACACTGTCCTTAGAAAGTGGCCTGTGGGATGAGGGTGTCCCACTTTTCGTGAGCAGAGGCCCAGAGGTTGGGCTCGTTAGCCCTGGATCTGTGTGGGGGCCCTGACAAGGGGAGGCACTGGGTGGCTAAGGCTCTGGGCCTACTGTGGGCTGAGGGTTGTTTATAGATTAGAGAAAGACTGGGTGAGCCTGAGAAGTCTGCCTGCCCTGGCGTCAGATTTCCCACCCTCTTCTCAGGATCCTCTGGGTTTGGTTGTTTGGGGCAGGGAGGCATGTGTTGGAGTTGCCGGGGCTGGGGGAGGTGGGGAAGAGAGATGGAGAGTGATTCCATCCGTCCTTCAGGGAGCCTGGTGGGCTGCCCACCTTGAACAGAACCTTCTCCCCACAGGCCCCATGCCCACTGCTGCCCTCGAGGGAGCTGGTGGCCTTTATCACAGACATTCCTGGGGGAGCTTTGTGGCCTTGGAGCAAGACTGCTTTCTCAAAGAATTCTTTATGCGTCTTTATTTCCCGGCAGCGGTTGGGACATGTGTTCCCTTTATGATGGGCATGGAGAGCAGAGGGGTGCTGGGCCCTTCTTGAGGAGGGAGGTCTGGGGCCCAGCCCTGGCCGATGTCCCGGCTGTTCCTGTGGCATTTCCTTCTGCCCTGGCTTGTCTGCCCACCTGCTCACCTGGCCCCCAACTCCTGCAGCTCTGGCCCAGCCCTGCACCCCACGCCCCTTCAGCCATCAGCTTGTCTATATTTGGCTGAGTTTTCCTTTCATTTTGTCCTTTCAAAGCTGCAGGACTCTTTGAAGAAGTAAAGTGTAACTGGAGCCCCAATATATAAAATACCTTTAGGGAATATGAATCTGAGTCCACAAATTGAGGGCTGAGAACGGTATCTTTTTCTAGGATTCAGTTTCCATTCCCAAAGCCCAAGCCCTTTGAGAAGAATCGGAGGACTTTGGAGGAGGCAAAGGGAGCGGGACTTTCCTCTCTGCTGCTGACTAGAAAGAGGAGTAGGCAGGAGAGGAGCCGCCCTGGTTCGGGGCGGGCTGCTGGAGGCGGAGGAGCTGTAGTCAGCAGTGGTCCTTGTGACACCTGGGGCAAAGGCGGCCTCTCCAGCGGCCAGTTTAGCCAGCCTAAGGGAAGGGGGCTAGGGGCTAGAAGTAAGTTGATATAGACTAAGAGCAGGTGACGTTTCTGGCATTCCCAGTGGAGCTGCTCTGAATGGATTGGGCTGGGATCCTGGGAACCCATCCTCTGGACCCTTTTTTGAGCAACCTACCTTCCCCGTGCCCTTGGGCTCTGGGCAGTTTGCTCACTTGTGCTCTGCCTTGTTTCTCAAGCCCGGGGTCTACAGGTGTCCGCAGGCAGAGGCAGCAGGGTAGGGAGGCACCTGGAGCCGTGGGGGCCATGCAGCCCATGTGGCCGTAGGTGGGCCTGGGTTGCACCTCCACCTCTTGTTTGAATGCTGCTCAGTGAGACTCTCCTCTGCAAGGACAGAATGTGCAGATGTGTGAACATGTTCTGTGCAGGTGGAGCCTCGCTGCTCCGGGTGGCAGGCGCAGATGCTGGTGGGCCTCTGAGTGAGGCTGCAGCTGCCTTTGCCCAGTTGGCAACCTTGTGGGAAACTCGCTGAGGAGAGTGGGCTCCTCCTCCTCTGCCTGCCCCTCCCACTGTACGAGGGGACCCCGCAGACTGGCCTGCCTTGCTTGTTCAAATCCTGCCCGAGGCAGATTTCAAGGGAGCTTGCTGCATAATCATCGGGTCCTGTGTCTCATGTCAGGTTGGATTTGCAGCTTGGCTGCCTGGGGAGAGCTGCCCACTCACGTACTCTTCCAGCTTAGAACCTAGCAGGCCTGCGCCACCTCTGTACACCTGGAAAGAGGAACACCACCTCTGAGGGGTTGCTTTGACTCCCTGGTTGGGGCCGCCTGGTGAGCGTGGCCGCTGGGTCTGACTTGTGTGTTTCTGCTCACTCTCAGGGACCGGCCGGCCTCCTAGGCCCTTCCTCTCACACGTTCCAAGCACTCGTCTCTCTCGGCTCTACTCTCCCCACCCTCCAGCTAGCCCTGGAGATGGGGCTGCATTTCCATCAGGCAAAACAGTGAGTCTAGTTTTAACAGTTCCCCAGGGAGCCCTGTTCTGGGACCAGGACCAGAACGGTGCCTTTTGGCATGGGCAGGGCTTCCTAACTGGACTCTAGCTCTGTGAGTCTGAGGGGGAAGTCCCAGGGAAGTGTCAGAGCCTCTGCTCACTAGGATACCTGACCTTAGGGACAGGGGAAGAAAGCTGCTCCAGGCCTGTGGCCAGCTGGAACCCAGAGTGAAGCTTGTTTGCAGGCCCCACTCTGCTCTTTGTAGGCCGTGACCTTGGACAGTTCACTTAGCCTCTTTTTTTTTTTTTTGTCTTTTTGTCTTTTTCCGTGTCCGGCAACGGATCGCAACCCTCAGTGTTGCCCCCGTACCGGACCGGGGACCAGCAATGGGATGGCCCCCACCGTAGCTGCCCC